AAAACATGCATCTTCGTCGCTTTCACCATAAGTATATATATAAGATATCATGACTTTTGAAAATTGGTTAAATATTAAGAAAAGTCAAAAAAAAAATACGTTATTTATTTATATTAAATGAGGAAACTGGTGAATTTAATAAGTTTTAGATTAATGTTTTTTAGTAAGATCTGGTTGCATATGTTAAATTTATTCGCCATGAAGGATGGTACATTCATTGAAACAGCTTGTAGAAAATAGATCTTTTTAGATCTTAACTAGTAAGAAGTTATCAGATTAACACAATTTTCATAAAGTTATTTAATAATTTTACGACGCAAAAAACATTGTATCAATAGGCTATGTGTAACTCAATTACAATTATATTCCATAATGGTCTTATACATGAAGTTGGTATTACACGGGTTCAATTTTTTTTTTCCGTGTGTCGTTTTGAAGTGTTTATGATTTTTCCGAAATAAATCATGACCTATAAGATATTTTGTTTGTTCTATAATTTTCTAATTCTTAAAATATAGACTGTGAAATTAGAAGTATAAACGTAAAATTTTTAAAATGCGATTTTTTTTTTTTCAATGATTAACACATTGAGATACAAAGAGTTTTACAGTAAGTTTTCAAAATTCTACTCTACAACGCATATATAGGCTTTTAAAAGCAGAATTTGACACACAGCAATAATAAAAAATTCTCATGTTGGGTTAAACTCCATTCCGATAGCATATGCACCACCGAAGGAAAATGTTAAAGGATTTTTTTAATTATTACAAATTCTAGTGCTCGATCGTGTCGTAAAAGGAAACACAGAATTTACGGTTAGCTTAAGCTTGTGTTAAAGCATTCTCATATGTACATTAAAAATAATTCTATCCTTAACCCCTTATATATATCTAGAGTCCATGACGTGTTCAGTGATAGTGTTCGCCAGCCCAGATTTCTTATTTGAGCTCATCTGTCAGTATTCGATAGGTGTGCTGATCGAACCGAGCGTAGGTTGCGATACAGTGCGTGGAAAAACGTTACCTAGAGGTTCAATCTGGAAGACTTGGTGTAAAGCATCGTTGCAAACCATCTACAGCGCATCCTTCATAAAGCTTACCAGGTTGTTTTGTCTCACTTGAAGAGAAGAGACTATTGCGGGAGCCCAGGCAGTAAACTCGTATGTCATGATCAGTGGGGATGCACAACTAATACATGCGCCGTTTGTTGTGCAGCGAGAGTTTGCTTCGGGCACGAAGTAAAGGGTAAAGAGTATGAACCGCCGCCTTGGCCTTCGCCGATATAGTTTACGTGCTGCAGCCACGAGAGCTTATATTCGTTAATGACCCCCAATTATTTCGCCTCAGGACACTAAGGAATTAGCTTATTTTCTATGGTCAGCGGCGCTTGTGGTGTAGTGGGCTTCCAAGTGATAAAAAAGGGCTTTCCACTTTCTGCATTCTTAGTATTTTCCAACGCCGCCCCTAGATGGTAAGCGTCCACTAGGTCGTACTACAGGTTCTGGCGCGTTAGGGCAGATGGCTCTGACGAGGAGTAAATCTCTGTATCATCCGCATATAAGACAAGGTGCGTGTGGGGTAGTCAGGTTGTTGCACGTCTCGCAGGAAAAGTGTAAAGAATAGGGGTGATGAAAGAGATTCCAGTGGGACTCCTGTTGTTACTGATCCTAAGGATGAGCGCGCATTGCCCACACGTATATTATAGATGCGTTCCTTATAGTAATATTTGGTCACGTTTAAAAGAATAGTAGGAAAGGCTATAGCGCACAATTTGTGAAGCAGGCCCCTTGCGTAAAAAACTAGCTTAAAACTGGTGGTGTTATGTAGGTATCTTCCTATAGCTCAGTGCCATTTAGTTGATTCAATGCCTAAAAGTAACTAATTAGGTCAACTAAAATAGTGCTTTTTCAATTTATGATTTTTTATATATAATCCTTTAGCAATTATTTTAGTATTTCTTAATTGTTGCATTTTTGATTTTAGTTTCTTTATATATTTTCGAGGCTTACTTGCATAATTCTATCACACGCTCTCAGGGTTCTATTGCATATTTTCCTTTATAGCCTTTTGTCATACGCATGTCCTCTCTTGAGTTAGCTTGACCTCGATGAAGGACTATAATTACCAGGATGAATTCGGATCATACGAGATTTCGCAGTCGTTAGCTCTGGAAGTTTCTTTCCTCAAATGCTGGCTTTAAAAAATTGTTAACATCATCCGATAAATCAAGGTTTTCGTGCGAACAACTAGGCAGTGGCTAAGGTATCCTAATGAAGCTAGATAACCCTGTTTAATAAAAAACGACCAGGGAAATATTCAAAATCTAACTGAGCTATATGGGCGGTGCCGGCTAAATATGGTATATACTAATAACTAAAGCTATTCGTACAGTGCCTTGTACAAAGAACTATATTCAAGTCTATCTATATATAAGATGTAAGCACTTTTATAGTCAGCCAAGGTACCTTAGTCATATACTATACTTTCATACATAGTCAAAAAACTCAATTACATTTCTAGGGTACCAGTTTCCAACTAGTCCACTGCCGAAATTAAAGCGGCGAATATTGTCAGTTAGCATCACTCGCATTTTTCAAATTTTCGAAGAGTGCATTACACCCTGAGTTTTCGGCCACATCTATTTGCTCAAGATGCAGTACTTACTCGATGGATTTATTAGCCGTCGTCTAAGAAGAAAACGATTCAGTAGGCAATGCAGCTAGTATACTAAAAACAGCTATTCTTTCAATAAATCAACCACCTACCCCGCTACATGAAACAGCATAATCACTTTGTCAAGTAAAACTGTGATTAACAAAGTACATACTATTTGCACCAGTCAGAGAGGATCTAGCACCTACGAAAGGTCTGTTGTCTGCTCATATATTAAAAATTTTAAATCAATTATTACGAATCGAGCGTAAACACAACCTTAAGACTCTTCTGGAGTCTAAGGTTAGGGTTAGGATTTAGAAATTATGTATAAAAATGAAATAATAATAGGCTCTTCTGGAGGTCCCCTAGGGTTCGGGTTCGTACTTTTAAATTAAATGAAGAAATGGAGTCTAGATAATTTTGTGGACCAATTAAATATTATTAAAAAATTTATCAATTAAAGGTGAACAATTTAAAAAATGAGAACCAAAATCGCCATATTAGAAGCCAAGAGCCTAAGTTGCCTTATTTTGTAATCGAGGGCCCTACTACTCATTTACATTAACGTTGCAACTACTACTAACAATTTCCCGGCCCCTTTTACGTGAGCTACAAATTGTATTAAGAAGTTCGTTGCTCTTTAACCTTTCAGGTTGTTTTACTAAATTTTTAGATTTTATTTTTTAAATTACTTATAAATATTTTTGCTATTTTATTCCAGGTATCAACATAAGTTTGAGCACTGTTTTTTTACAACTTTTTTTTTTTCTTTCATTATTTTTACTATTATATAAATAAATTGTCGTCAAAAGAAAAGTTACTTTTTGGATGTTAAATTTTTAAGAAGCTTATGCAAGCACCTAGCTTTATAGCAATTGTTTTTTTTATAACTCTAAACTTTTTAGATTTATAAAACTGTATTCATACTCTCGCTGTATAAACTCGCTTAGTTGCGATCATTTAATATAATTGACTAAAATATAGGTTTTAAGTTTTTGTTTAAATTGTTAAGCGCCCGAATATTATTAAGATCTGTTGACTATAAAGTAGTAAACTTTAAAAGGAAAAATTTGAATTTTAATAAATATTTACTATAAATCGAAGACAATTTTTTTTAACAATGTTCACTTAGTTTAAAAATGTTTTTTATATTATATAACATAATAAATGAATCGAGGAAAAATTTGGTCGGATTAAGCTTATAGTCTGTCGGTTGTAAGACGATGGCGCATTACCACTTCTCACTCGAATAAATTCTCCGCACATAGATAATGCGATGGTGTCGTATAGTGTAAACGGAGTGCCTGATGCGCTTATTTTTTGCATGAGATTCTCTTTCTACGCCAATGGCTTCCTTAAACATTTGCCCCGCGTTGTGCACTAAAGAAGTGTAAAAAAGTATACATTTCACGGGTAACGCACGTTCAAATAAAGAAAAGCAACTAATGGAGTGTACTACGCCTAATACTCTTTCCATCTGATAGCTTTTGGCTTAGTTCTACGAGCTAAGACGATGAAGCTCAGTTACCCAATTTGAGTCAGTTAGTTCAATTCCAGTTAATTTTCGAGAGTGTTAATAGACGTTATCGGGCATGATTAATTTTTAATTGCCCTGATCCTTCAATTTTGTTTCAAACTCATTGCGATAGTGCAAATAGTAGGGTATACTAGTAACTTAACCCTTTGACGGGCAAAACTGGGCTTGTAATAGTTTTGTTTTTTTCTGCGGGAACACTTCCTATGTTGAAACTATACTTTAAAATTTAATTTTATACATCTCAATTAATCTTTTAACGAGCAAAACTCTGGAGATTAAAATAGATTTGTTTTTTCTGCAAATCCACTAATATGGACCTAGGCGAGAAGTGGTAAACGGTATTCAGTAACTTATAAGGGGTGAAATTTAAGCGGTGAGTGGTCACTGGCTGACTGCACAAGGTGTATAACGTTAATGACAGTTGTTTGTTAAAAGTCAAATCTCTATAAAAGTAAAGACTATAAAATTTTTCAAAAAATAAAGTTATTACAATGTTTACTTTTAAAGGAACTTGTAAAATTTAAAATTGTTGTAAGGCAAAAATTAGAATATGTAGACTTTCAATTAGTAAAATTTACAATTTATTGACTTGCAATTATATGAACACCATTAATTTACTGTTTGTAGGTGAAGGGAACTTTTCTTTTACTTTAGCTATAGTGCGAAGAGAAAAAAAGGAAAAAACTTTAAAAAATCAACTTCAAAGTGTGTATGGTTCATCAACCCCCCTTAAGCCCTTTCAAGAAGTGCCTTCTTTAATCAACCTTCAAATAACAGCTACTTCATATGATTGTTACGAAAATCTGTTACAAAAATATCATGACTTTCATATTATTTATAACCACCTGCAAAAATATAACTATTGTCGTCTTGAATTTGAAGTCAACGCTGTAGCCCTTGAAAGTTGCTCGAGACTTAAAAATCAAAAGGCAGTTATTTTGTAAATTTTTTGTTAATTTCTTTTGCTTCCATATAAAAAGTATTTTAGTTTTTTATTTCTGTTTTTTCCTACTATTTCATGTATTTTATTATTGTTTTTACAACTGAGGATTGACATTTTTCTTCTAGAAGTTTTATATACTTTTAGCTTTGACACTTTATATAATATATAAGTTTTTTGTTCATATCTATAAGGTATACGTCTTTGTAAATTTCATTTTTCATCTATAAACTATTTTTTGTATTCTTAATGAGGGGTAAGTTGTTGTTGCATATTTTTTAAAAATTTTTTATTGCTCGCAATAAATTAGTCTCTAGAGCGAAAAAAAATTAAATTTTTTTTGGAATATATGTTATACCTTTAACTGTTTTTTACTAAACATAATCCTGATTTAATTCGTTTCCCTTTTTTTAAATGAGTTTCTTGTTGATATTATACTAACTCAGATTTTTTTTAATTTTTATAAACTAGTTTGATGCAGTAGTTTTTAACCATCCTCATCTTGGAATTGAGGACAGTCAACTTAACGGCGCTTTAATATCGCACTTTTTTTACGCAATAAAAACTTTTCTTAAACCAGAAGGTCAAATTCAAATAGCTTTACTGAACTCTCAAAGCGAACGCTAGGATTTAATTAACCCTGCTGAATCACAGGTAGTTAATTCTCCTTTAAAAAAATGTCTTAAGTTTTTAATTTTGTATTTAGGGGTTTCTGCTACTTGACAAAAGTCCCTTTAATAAACATCTTTGCCATTATGGATATCAAGCCAAACGCAGTAATTACTGCCAGTCTTTTCAAAATGTTCATACGCAGAGGCACATGAACTGTGAACAGGAAAGTATTGTTTACGTCTTTATTCCTAGAAGCTTCCCCCAAAGTGAAATTCTCTTCTCATTTTTACTTTCATTTAGGTCGTCTAAGAGCAGTAGCAGTAGTGGAAACACAGAACTTGAAGAACTTGAGTGTAGCCAATGCGGAAAACGCTTTAAAAACGCACGTGGCCAAACCACACACTTCCATCAAGTTCATAAACTGGAGTTATACGAGCGCGATCGGCTTGATTCAAAAGTGTGCCGCTACTGTGAGCCGCATAGACGCTTTAATAGTCAGTCCGCATACAATAACCACCAAATAGCTAAACATTTAGCTTATAATGACGAAGTTGAGGGACAGGCTATTAGTTACCCCTCGCATAGTCAGGGTTATAAAAAATGTGATATATGTTTGCTTGATATCACTAGTCAAGACGAAGAGGTGCTCCATGTTAGACTCTTAGAACCACGCATCCAATGGCATAACTGCTCCTCTTGCGGAAAAATATTTTCAAACCAACGCCCCTGTCGCCAGCATTAAAATTTCTGCGCAAAATTTTGCTAGACTTAAATAAAAGAATTTACTTAATTTAATTTAGAAAAAAAAAGTGAGAAATTTTTAAGCTGATTTTTTTTAAGAAAATTCTTTAGGCTAAGCTTATGTAGCCTAAGTCTTATTCTGTAGAATTTTTTTAATACTTAAAAGAAGACGCAATTATGTAGGGCGCAAGCTTGTGAATGCATATATGACCCCCAACTATCTGACTTTTACTGAAATGAAGAACTCTAAAAATCAATGTAAATATAACCGTGCAGTATTCGATAAACTTTTCTTTTAATGGATTTCGACGGTATTAAAATAATTGAGATAGGGCGCGAATACTAGTGAAAAGATCATTTTTACTATATGAAAACTTTATGTTCAATAAAACATATCTTAAGCTAGACTTACAGCTGGGGGTTTTTCTCCTGTCCTTTTAAATTATCTTAGAGACTTCACCTCACTATATCTCTAACAAATGCAATATATCTATAAGTCCGGTGGTTGTATCACTTTTACACACGGAATTACGGAAACTAGTTTGACATCTACACTCCACAAAGTTTTATAACAGGGATTTTTACAGGTCCCCTAAGGGTTAGGGTAGGCTGTGGTAGGAGTTTCGAGGGTTTGATTGTTTTATAGAAAATGTCATTACGAATACACCCCATGGCTTTTTAGCCAATCTCTGCGGATAAAATAATGAGACAGGCCTCATTATCAGTAAAATATTTTTAGTTATCGGAACTCTATAAATCTAACCACTAGATAATGAGACAAAGTGTTAGAGAAAAGGGAGCAATTAGGTTCTTTATAAGGTGCATTTAAATTCGCTTTAAAGGCTAACCGTAAGGACAGACTTTCTTTTCACTCGAATAAACCGCCCCTCTTATGTAGCGTTATTATAGAAAAAGGAGGTTTTTGGTGACGACGCTTCATAATTCAACTATTCTTCTAAGTGACCTAAAATTTTCACATTCACGGAACTGAGTTAATTTTTTGTTCTTAGTTCATGAAATAGTTTTAACACTTTCTTAACCGGATCGACGAGCTTGTTTGAGGGCGCCTTATTCCTTGGGAAGCATAGTTATGAAAAATCTACTTTTCTGCGAAGTCGATATTAACGTTCCTTAAGAGAAGCGGGTAACTTAAACTTGGTGGCAGTACGGTGACCGTCTCTACAGCATTTTAATTTGGTATACAAACAAGGCGAATGGGTCATCAAGCTCTATTTCGTTTCTCAATACTGTCGGGTTGAACTGAATTTGTGCATATCACAAAGAGCGAAACGACGACTAAATGCTGGGATAATTCTGATAGCTCTAAAAGTGTGACGGATGGATCTCCATTCCGCAAGGCCCAAAGGAGTGGGGGGGGGGCTTACTTTCTTTGGGTTACATTAACCGCCAATTACTATAATGTTGCAGTTTGCTTGCAAAATTTCCAAAAATAGTTGGAAACTTAACCTCCAGGATATTCAGAAAACAGTTTCCTGGTTATTGACCCTCGTGGTCCTGTTGTAACCACAACTATATAAAAAGTGCCCAATGGAAAAGCGGGATAGAAAATCGTAGGGGTGGGTTTGGAACAAAGGCTCCAGCTTCAAGACTTAATCTTTAAAGAGTATTTTTAGAATATGCAAAAGCTTTGTATCTCCTACTAAATAAACCCAAATGTTTTGACAACCCGATAGGTTGTAGGGTGCATAAAGTACATTTTTAGAAAAGCCTTCATCATAGCAACTCTAGTTACAAGCAAAGTAGTCTTAAAATCTTATTGTAGACGAAAAATACTACCAACAAAAATACTTGTTTGTAAATAGACAATATATGGCGAATACATGAATACATTTTCGACTAAACATAAGCAAGACAACCCTATTTGGGGGCTACAAAATCGTTTGCAGAAGGGAAATTAGAAAATGTCCATTTTTCTGCATTCACCATTAATTTTTTTTACAAGGTCAATATCCTCACGAGGTTACTTTGGTCACATGGCGGCTACAAGAGTAATGAAAGTAAACAGAACTCAAACTTAAACAAGCAAGCCCTGAAACTATTGTAGGCAGGACCCATTTGGATCAAGTAGTGCGAATGATAGTAAAATACTCCGATTTCCATTCCAGGGAATATTGTTCGATATTTTTACTTATTTAAAAATCCTTCATCTATAAAAGCGTTATTGGAGGGATTTCAAAGGCGCATAACTCCTTTGCTAAAGGTTATTAACTTTTGTTCTTTATATATAAAATTAACTAAGTTACTTAAACATGGTAATTAAAACTTTTTTTTATTATCCTATTAAGAAGGTTGACACTGTTTTTGGTTTAAAGGTACGCGGTCTTTCATTTGACACTACTCTAGCATTTAATTGGGCTGCGCTTTCGTTCCTGCCCGGTTCAAATTTTGTTTACTATAAAAGCGGGGCTAAGTCATTATAAATTTTTTCTGTTTTTTTTACTGCATCTTTCCTTGTTCCTGCAGTAAAACAGATAACTTATCTAGGCAAACTATAAGCGTGGAGTACAAGGAGTACGCTTGTGAAAAACTTGAAATCAATGCTGAAAGCATCAGCCCTGGAGATGACGTCGTCGTGATCATATATGACTTCCTTGCTATTGGCGGAATTATGGAGGTTTCTACAACCTCATACAATCCTCCTTTCCCTTATAGAGTTATTCCTAGGCTAATATTCTTGTTATTATAAGGCTGCTCTAGACCTGCTAAAAACCTGGAGGAAATGTCATAAAATGCATGGTGCATATCGAAATCACCGAGTTTAAGGGGAAAAATATTATTGGCGACCCCTTGTTACGCACTTTCTGAAAGAAAATGGGATATATGTACAATGCTTTTAATCCTACACACATAGCGCTTTTGGAATATGTTTTCAGCGCATCAAGTCCTTTTCGAATTTTTTTTTGTTAGTTAAATAAAAATTTCATAATTTCTTAAAAAATTTTGCTGGTTTAATTATAAAAATTACGTAAACACATATACACTTAGCATATTGAACGAAAATTTTCAATTTATGTTCAAAGTCTAGCAAAGACGAGTTTACACGGTTCAAGTTAGCGCAAAGGAACTTTTTGTAAATATAAATAACCTTAATTAGGACTACGAATTAAATTAACAACCATAACAATTTTTCATCTCAAGCGGCAAACATATTTAAAGTTCCTTGCTTAGAAGAATATAAAGGGTTTGAGCTTTTGAAGTTTGACTGATTACGTGAGAATTTCATTCTGCTTTTGCAGTGTGACGTTTTTTTATGGGGTAACACCTTAATAGTGCCAAGTGTAAAGTCTCGGCCCCTTGACAAACTATTATCTACCCCAAAAGAGGGCGACCACTTTTCTGCATCTGGGAAAATTTAACATGTGTTAACATCCCACTAAATACTACGTATAAGTCGGGTAGCGCAAGATTTTTAAATTAATGTGACGGAGGAAGGGTGTCCGAGTTAGCCCTCAAGATGTTAAAGCTTTTGTATAAATTACCTTTATCCCTACTTGTTGGTTTAAAATTGCGAGTAAAAACGAAATAGTTTTGAAGTTGGTAATAAGCACATGGCTAAAGAAACGGAAGAAATATTATCCCCATAACAATTGCTGGTTTCTCTTTACCCAGTGTATACCTACGTAATACACCATCTATCTTACTTCCGTTTGTCAATAGTCAACTTTAGTTACAAATTACAAAATACGACCATGTTTCCTTATTTCGCACCTTAAATTTAGAAGAGATATTTTAATCTCGGCTTACCACTCCAGTAACATTTTGTAGGATGTTCAAGGAACAATATGTTGTCCAATTCTTAAATAATGAAGAGTATCTAAAAGATGTCTACTATCGTGCTTAAATATCTTTATTTTAAGCAGGCAGGTTTTCGTGCGATTCCTTAAATTAACCTTCTCCCCTGTTTTAATGTTATAAAGTTGTTAGGGGCTATAGTTTGGCTATGGGGTTGGCTATGGGGTTGTGAGCTTATAAGAGATTGTACTTTACGATAATTTGTATATTAACTGTGGGCTAAAATAAATCCCATATATATTGATTATTACGCCCTTTGCTTACTGCTTAAGTTGCAATACGGCTCCTTTTTAAAGGGTTTTTTTTTTTCCCAAATCCCAAGTACTCGTAATATACAACATAAAAACCACGCCTACTCCTTCTTAGACAGGAACTAGGGGTATATATTATTTGGATACAATCTTAAACAAGCAATAAACGAAAATATGCCTTAAAAAGTAACTTCGCTACCATCTTGAGAAGACTTTTACGATTAGTTTATACAGGTCCGTTCATAAACATTATTTTCTGTATTCTCTTTCTTGCTAGAACTATAGTACATTAAAAGAATTCTACAAACATAGCTTCTATATGCACTTTAAAAAAACTTTTTGACTTCCTATACATTCTTACCTT